AAATAGTTTTTGAGTTTATACTATTTGTATCATTGTTAGTGATTATTCCAGATTGTAAAAATGGTGGAATATTGGTGGAAGAAAATGGAACATTAAAATGTAACTGTCCACCAAACACATTCGGTGACGATTGCAGTAAGTACAAATTAAAAAAAGTAAATTTACCAATCTCTCCTCGTTCGTCTAGTCGTTCAGATGGGACAATAAACTGTGGCCCCGTGTGCTTCAGGTTGTACACGTTAAAGATTCTCGACAGTTGGAAATCAAACAAGAGTAGGATAATGCCACTGTCCTGGTAAAATTTCCCCTCCCTTCCATGTACACTTCATGGCGTTGTCCGTCTTCATTTATCCCACATGGTGCATAAAAGTAGACGTAAAACTCCATTCATTTCATTTTTCAAATTTTGTCATTGATATTTTAGAATGTGAGTACAAGTACAAAATTTCCCTCATTGTACACTGCATGGCGTTATCCGCCTCCATTAGCCCAATTAGAAAAGTAAGACGTAACATTCCATTCATTACATTTTTCAGATTGTCGATACAAGTTTACAAATGTAACATTTTTGGAGCCCGATCACTACGGAGAAAGTGCAGGATCTGATTCAGCGAAATGTGATGAAAACTGTGCTATCGACACCAGATGTTCCACTTCTACCATGCTTCCTAGTGGTAAAACATGTTATCATTACGAAACACCAATTATCTTAGTGACGTATGATAGAGATGAAGATAAATGTATTGGAAGGTGCAACGAGATGAGTGAATGTAAAACGTTTGGCATTGACACCGGCATGAATTCTGCTTGTGTTTTATTTAACGTTACCTTGGACAAGATTCCAGATAAAATGAAACGAGCTTACCAAACCTTTTTTAAAGCAGGAGAAAAAATCTGCGAATAATAAAAAAAACATGTTTATCATGATATAGACCTATCTCTGTTTTTATTTTTGGCAATAACCTTGGGTATAAGGGGGTGAGAGCCGACTCTAAGAAACAAAGGCACAGGCATCAAAATTATTCTTACTTTCGAACCCACGGCACCTAATCACCTAGCAGACTATAATCCAACTCGCTACCGACTGAGCTATTCTAGAAACTAGGTATTAGGGGGGTTGGAGCTGACTCTCGGAAGCACAGGCACAGGCATCAGAATTGTCTTTACCTTGTGGAGGATTCAAACCCACGGCACCTAATCACTTAGCAGACGACAATGAAAGAGATATTCTAGCACGGGCAAGGATAGGTAATGATCGTTTTATATTGAGAGTAAACGAGGTTCACTATATACCCTTGAGGCTGACGTAGATAACAGAGGGAAAATACATTAAAACGCAGCCGTATTGCATTGGATACGTCTACATGAAGTCCAAGAAACCGAAATGTATCACTGCACGAGCATAGATCATAGAGAGTCTCACAGGTCTTGTGTGTATTTCAAATAAGTGAAAGAAATGAGTTGCCGATGATACTAAACAAAAGTACACCAAAATGGACACAGGAAACTCGTCTGACCACTAGATACTCGGTTGACCTTTGCACATAATCGAGTGCAGTGGACTGCACGCATGGTAGTAGTTTTTAGGCATCTGTGACACACTTCTCTATAGGCACTCCATGTTACCAAATGAACTAGAGTTGGTCCTGGAACGGCAGATTAAAAGGTGTCAGAGAATCTGAAATTAAATAGTTTGCTTAAGTTGACACTAGAAAATAAGGAAACTCATCTTTAACACTATAATTATATGTTTATTACATATATTATTCAGAACATACAACAATGTATTCAGCTAACTGTTCAATAAAGGAACTCTCAAAGATATATATTCATTTAAGGAATGAATGTGGATCTTGTTATCGTTACCGGGAAATAAACGCTGGTTTATCATGTGACAAGACAAATGACCCGGCGTGATAAAATACGCTAAAATCTTCTATTTTTTAATTGTTAAAATACCCGAAACCGTGTTGTTGCTTAATTCACCGATATCTGTCAATCAAGTTCACCGCCCCGCCCCTAACAATATAGTTCTATAAACAGACAGTCTTCTTTGGATAATAGAATTATCAAATATTTAATATTCCATTGAAATATTAACAACAATTGTAAATTTAAATAAATTGTAAAATTAGATTAGACTCTTGGTAAAAAACTTGGGTCAATCCTTGTTTTCGTTTTCGATATATTCATACGCCTTATTGTCACGTGACAAACTACAGTTATTGGAAAATAAACGCCGGTTTGGATAACTTGTTTATTGAAGGGAGTGATAGTATTAACAATTAAGTCATTATCATGCATAGGTTATATCTATAAGTTGTTTGCTCTCTCTTATTACCTACCTGACACTATGATTACAATACGAACATGAAACTGAAAAATTATTTTAGAATAGCTCTGGAAAATTTAGACCAAATCCAGGTTCTTTCCCATCCCCGGTCATTCAACTCGCCATGGTCCAGCGACCACCAGCTTGGCTGAGGTACACCACAGTCCGGCTCTAGATTATTTAGACCAAATCCAGGGTCTTCCACATCCCCGCTCATTCAAATTGCCATGGTCCAGCGACTACCAGCTGATGTGGGACTGGGGTGTCGGGGATGTGGACAACTGTTATAGGAGAAGTTTTTTTAGGTGGGAGGTGGGGGGGGGGGGGTTGGTAAACAAATAATTTATTGCAAACATCTCTCCAGTATGTGTTCTTAGATGTGTTGTTAAATTACCTTTTAAACTAAATGACTTATTACAAACATCACATGTATAAGGTTTCTCTCCAGTATGTGTTTTCAGATGTGATGTTAAATTACCTTTTAAACTAAATGACTTTTGCAAACATCACATGTATAAGGTTTCTCTCCAGTATGTGTTCTCAGATGTGATGTTAAATTACAATTATGACTAAATGACTTATTACAAACATCACATGTATAAGGTTTCTCTCCAGTATGTGTTCTCAGATGTGATGTTAAATTACCTTTTAAACTAAATGACTTATTACAAACATCACATGTATAAGGTTTCTCTCCAGTATGTGTTCTCAGATGTGATGTTAAATTACCTTTTAAACTAAATGACTTATTACAAACATCACATGTATAAGGTTTCTCTCCAGTATGTGTTCTCAGATGTGATGTTAAATTACAATTATGACTAAATGACTTATTACAAACATCACATGTATAAGGTTTCTCTCCAGTATGTGTTCTCAGATGTGATGTTAAATTACCTTTTTAACTAAATGACTAATTACAAACATCACATGTATAAGGTTTCTCTCCAGTATGTGTTCTCAGATGTGATGTTAAATTACAATTATGACTAAATGACTTATTACAAACATCACATGTATAAGGTTTCTCTCCAGTATGTGTTCTCAGATGTGATGTTAAATTACCTTTTTAACTAAATGACTTATTACAAACATCACATGTAAAAGGTTTCTCTCCAGTATGTGTTCTCAGATGTGTTGCTAAATTACCTTTTTAACTAAATGACTTATTACAAACATCACATGTATAAGGTTTCTCTCCAGTATGTGTTCTCAGATGTGATGTTAAATTACCTTTTTAACTAAATGACTTATTACAAACATCACATGTATAAGGTTTCTCTCCAGTATGTGTTCTCAGATGTGATGTTAAATTACCTTTTTAACTAAATGACTTATTACAAACATCACATGTATAAGGTTTCTCTCCAGTATGTGTTCTCAGATGTGTTGTTAAATTACCTTTTTAACTAAATGACTTATTACAAACATCACATGTATAAGGTTTCTCTCCAGTATGTGCTCTCAGATGTGTTGTTAAATTACCTTTTTAACTAAATGACTAAATGACCTCGATCTCGACATGCTATTTTGTTCGGGCAGAACTTACACAATTTTTATTCGATGGTTTTCATATTTTCCGGTTTGGACAACGTATGACACCTTGAAGTATACCCGTCAAACTTTGGGACATTTTTTTATGGACACTCGATATGTAATATAGTCTTCAGAAATACTAGAAATGTACGAAAATCACATAATTCCTTCAAAAATATCTCAAAATAGTAATTTTACTTTCTATTTCTATAGATGTCCTTTCTATGTATCACAGAGTGTTTTTAACTTTCGGATGATTCTGGACACACATGTATTTGAAGACTCATATTTCAATGTTGAGTTGTGAACACTATTACTGACTAGCTAAGCTAATAAAAAGTATGATTGTGCAGAAAAATGGCCTATCTGTCCCTTTAAGAGAATAATGTAATGACACACTTAAATCATATGATAGCAGTCATGGGCTTCTATCACTTTAATTGGTTACATTTGTTAAACCGAACGCACCATAGATCTCCTTATGCGTCTTTAATCTAAACGAACTGGCTCACCAGTTCTAATTACCTCCCTTACGCTCTCTTCCGGTCACCTGACTTTAGCAGACGGCCACGCTGAATTGTTTCTTTCTAGTCTTACAATGTACCATTACAAATCAACTTTCCCAAAGTTTATCCGCCCTTCTTCTCAACTGGTGTGGCGGCAGAGCTGTAGAATCCATGAAGGTCGAGAAGAAATTCAACCTGAGACTGAGAGGACTTTAACTTCCGGACTTGTTTATCGTGAAAGACGACGATTCTGCCTTCCCATACGAAGTGAAGACTAAGGTTTACTAACTTCTATTTATTGTCATATTATATTGTGTTATTATAGGCCTAATCATGCCTAATGGTGGAGAGCCAGTGAGTTAGACCAGGGTTCAATCCCGGCATAGGTCGAGATAATATCTTCGGATTTTAAAACTTGGTTAACTATGAGTTATTGCCCTTGTTCTTGAAATGCTTGTAAACACTCTAAAAGGCACAATTCTTGACAAATTTTGATGAAAGTTGGTATGGTTGTTTATAATCACCCAAGCATGAACCTCATCCAAACTCAGAAGAATTGAAAAATATTTAGTATGAGTTATTGCCCTTGTTCTTGAAAATGGGTTAAATTTTAAGTTTGTAAACTCTCTAGGAGGAACAATTCTCGACGGATTTTCACGAAACTTGGTGTGAGTATTTGTCATAAATTTGTTATAGGATGAACCTTGTTGAAAATCAGAAAAATTGAAATATATTTAGAATGAGTTTTTGCCCTTGTTCTTGAGACGCGTTCTAGTTTCAACTTGTAAACAGTCTAGAAGGCCCAATTCTTGACAGATTTTGATGAAACTTGGTAATATTTTTTAGTATATTACCTTGTCTAGCGCTATCTATTTCAAATATAGCGGAGAGCTGCCACGGCTCAGTGAGTTAGACGCTTGCTCACTAACCTGAAGGTCCAGGGTTCAATCCTAGCATAGGTTGTGATAATACCTTCCAATTTTCAACCTGGTTTCCCCCTGTCAGTGATGTAGGTAAGAGGGGCTGACATGAAAAAGCGTCTTGTCGTTCAGATGGGACAATAAACCGAGGACCCGTGTGTTACAGACTGTACACGTTAAAGATCAATTGGTCCAATGTGCTACAGGCTGTGCATATTAAAGATCCCTCGACAGTTGGGAATGGAAAAAGAGTACCGGTAGGCTAATGCTGTTATCTAATAAAGTTGTCCTGGCAAAATTTCCCTCATTGTACACTACATGGTGTTATTCCTCTTCATTAGCTCACCTGGTGTAGAAAACTAGATTTATAAAATTCCTTTGATTTCATTTTAATTTTTCCACTCCCAAGAGCCCCAAAAACCAAAAAGCAAGTTCTGTCCAGAACAGCTTTAACTGGTTAGTTTTGACCGGTTAAAACCGTTGTCCAAAACCCTTTGAGTGGACAAAAGCGGTAAAAACTAACTAAAGCAACACTTTGTTGTAGTTTTACACGTTTTTTTTCTTAAATCCACTTCATTTAATCATACACAATAATTGTTACAGTCAAGTAACCTAATTTCGTGGAAACCTATTAATCGTGGATTTCCGGAAATGATAAATAATTTGCATGAGCGACCTTGCGCGACCTCTGCATTAGTTTGTTTTGATAAACATGGGTTTTCTCTACAATATCAGCTAGTAGAATGAATCCAGTAGTTTCAAGCAAGGTAAAATGTATTAATGTATACTTTGACAAATACAAAATGGCGGATTTCACTTATTACCAAACGTCACAATTTTTTATCGGCCGAATTTCCTTATAATCCCAAGCGGTAATCAGAATTCCAAGTGTCGTCTGCTAGATTCTATGTCAGCAGAAAATTTCTATGGAACACAAAGTGGACCATATTCTTATGTTGTTTCAGTGACTTTTAGCAATAAATCACACTACGTATCTTATTTTGTCAGTCACTATTTTTTTTTAAAATCGTGGTTCTTTGAAGGAATTATCACTAGTTATAATGAATTGATATTAAAGATAAATACTAAGAGAAGTTAATTATACCACCCGGTATCCATACAACGTGTTTTTCTCGACTTATTTATAGATCAAACATTGTACACGAAAATAGGTGACGCATTCTGCCGCCGTTGCAGAGTTGGTTGCTCATGAAATATGGGTCAAAGTGAAGGATTCATAAAGAAAATCGAAATAAACCGATTTTAATTATTTTGTAGAATATCTGAGGAAACTTCTAAGACATAATTTTGTTTTTGTTTTTTTAACGAAATTCTGTGTTGAATCTTTTATATCCACGAAAATAGGTTACACCACTGTATATTATACAGTTTATATTCGCAGTTTATACATGGATAAACCGAAAAAATGTTCAGGTCATTCCTTATAATCAAATCAACTCGAATACTTGTTTAAATATTTATGTAATATAACAACAACTTCAGGCACATTGGAAGTTCAATTCTAAATGGACGAATTCTAAAAAAATTTAGAATTCATGATATTGTTGGAATTTGGAGTGTGCACATTTGAGGGAATTTAGAAAATACCTATATCATTTGGTGATGTTTCGATTTCGGCTCTGTTGATGTTCGAAGGAAAGACATCGACGCCGTGAAGTGGCCACGTCAATCAAACACAATGATAAAAGTAGTCCGTTAAGGGGTGGAGCTTATATTTTCATTTCGTTTACACAGATATAAACCGAATTCACGTGACCGCTGTTATCCAATCAAATTGCGTGAAACCGTGTAAACGGTATGGTGATTTAATTTTTGAAAATTATATCATTTCACAGACTGGAGATAAAAATACTAAGATAGCTTGCCAGGCAAGGTAATATACGCCCACTGGTAGCTTTGAATTTGAATAAAAATATTTAGCAGTACAGTAACAATTACCAGTATGAAATATTCAACCTTCAGTCATACAATTCTTTTGAACTTTTTGGGCCGATACTGAACAATATTACCAAGTTTTGTCAAAATCTGTCAAGAATTGGGCCTTCTAGAGTGTTTACTAAGATAGCTTGCCAGGCAAGGTAATATACACCTACTGGTAGCTTTGAATTTGAATAAAAATATTTAGCAGTAAAGTAATATTATGCAATATAACCCCAAAAAGTTCAAAAGAAGTGTAAGACAGGTGATTGTTACTGTACTGCCAAGTATTTATATTTAAAATCAAAGCTGCAAGTTGGCGTATATTACCTTGCCTGACAAGCTATCTTTTTATTATACGCCCACATCTCTCTATGTGGACGTATATGGTTGGCACCCCTGTCCGTCCGTCCGTCAACATTTGCTTGTAATCGCTCTAAAAACTAGATTTTTTGATGGAATCAAATGAAATTCAGTATGTGTATACATATTCATAAAACGAAGATCAAGTTCGAATTTGAGCTATTTTCGACCGTTAGAAGCAGAGTTATTGCCCTTACCCCAAAATCTTGAATATGCTATTAGTCTCTTAGTTTTCAACCAATTTTGATGAAACTTAAAATGGATGTTATTAGACCTAAAACGCAGTATTATCTTGTCTTTCTTTAATTTGATATTAATCACTCTGGCATAGGGAATGTCACTCTAGCATGAAAGGGCATAACTCTGCTATTTAGGGGGCATAACACTCTCTTAGAAAGGGTATCACTCTGATGTAAAAAGGCATCACCCGGATATTTAGGGGCATGACTGTGATGTATATGGGCATCACTCTGATATTAAGAGGCATCACACTAGCATTTAGGGGGTACAATATATTGATGTATACAGGGCATCACTTGAATGTATGAGGGCATTACTCTGATATATTAGGGAAACACTCTGATGTATAGGAGCATCACTCTTATGTATAAGAGGATCACTGCGGTATTTAGTGGCATCACCAATGTATAGGGGACAGTACTCTAGCGTTTATGGGGAATCACTCTAATGTTTCTAAGCATCACTCTTATGTATAAGAACCATCACTCTTCCATGTAAGGGCATCACTTTGATATCTAGGGTATCAAAAGGGAATCACTCTGATGTCAAATAGGCATCACCCTGATATGTAAGGTTCATCACTCAAAAAGAGTATCACTCTAATATCAAAAAGGTATCACTTTGATTTTTAGGGGACATCACTCTGACATTCAAGGGCATCACTTTGATGTATATGGGTCATCACTCTGGTGTATAGAGTTCAACACTCTAGGGGACAACACAGGCATTTAGGGGGCATACCACTTCGATACTGATCACTGATGCATAAGGCCATCTCTCCAGAAGTTAGGTTGCATCACTCTGATGTTACGGGGGCATCACTTTAGAATTTAGAGGACATCACTGATGTATATGGCACATCACTCTGATGTATAGGTGCTATCACTCATATATTAGGGCAACACTTTGGAGCAACTCTCTAATATTAAGGGGGCACCACTCTAGCATTTAGCGGTCATTACTCTAGTTTTTAAGGGCAACACTCTGGCATATAAGGGCATCACTTTGATATTTAGGGGGCATCACTTTGATATACAGGGCCATCACTCTGATGTATAGGGGGCATCACTCTGGTGTATTGGGCGCATCACTATAGCATTTTGGGCATCACACATTGATGTATATGGCACATCACTCTGGTGTATAGAGATCAACACTCTGATGTAATGGGCATCACTCTGGCATATAAGGTCATCACTTGAATACTTACAGCAATCACTGATGCACAGGGCGATCACAATTTAGGGGGCATCACTCTGATGTATAGAGGGCATCACTTTAGAATATCTAGGGCATCACTCTGGCATGTAAGGACATCACTTTGATGTATAGGGGGCATCACTGTAGCATGGTTTTGGCATCATTCTAGCATGGAGGGGACACCCCATTGATATATAGGGGGCATCACTCATGCATACAAGGGCATCACTCTGATATAAAGGGGGCATCACTGATGTTTAGGGGGCATCACTTATACATTTATGGGACATCACTCTGATGTATTGGCATCACTCTAGCACTTAATGGCATCACTGGCATATAAGGGCATCACTTTGATATATAGGGCCATTGCTCTGATGTATAGGGGGGAAACACTGTAGCATATAAGGGCACTACTTTGATATATAGGGCCATTGCTCTGATGTATAGGGTGAAACACTGTAACATATAAGGGCATCACTTTGATATATAGGGCCATTGCTCTGATGTATTGGGGGGAAACACTGTAGCATATAAGGGCACTACTTTGATATATAGGGCCATTGCTCTGATGTATAGGGGAAAACACTGTAACATATAAGGGCACCACTTTGATATATAGGGCCATTGCTCTGATGTATAGGGGGGAAACACTAGCATATAAGGGCACTGCTTTGATATATAGGGCCATTGCTCTGATGTATAGGGGGAAACACTGTAACATATAAGGGCACCACTTTGATATATAGGGCCATTGCTCTGATGTATAGGGGGAAACACTGTAGCATATAAGGGCACCACTTTGATATATAGGGCCATTGCTCTGATGTATAGGGGGAAACACTGTAACATATAAGGGCACCACTTTGATATATAGGCCATTGCTCTGATGTATAGGGGGAAAACACTGTAGCATATAAGGGCATCACTTTGTCATTTAGGGGCATTACACTGATGTTAAAGAGACATCACTTTGATGTCCAGGGGGCATCAGTCTTATGTTTATGTCTATTGCATAGGGAGCATCACTCTGGCATACAAGGCATCAGTCTTGCTTAGAAAGGGCGTCACTTTGATGTAAAGGTGGCATCACTCTAGCATTTGGGGGCATCACTCTGATGCATAAGGGGCATCACCTTAGCATTTAAGGGCATCACTTAGATATTTAGGGGCATCTCCCTATCATATAAGGGCATCATTTCGATATTGAGGGGCATCACAATCGTATAAGGGCATCACTCTGATGTATAGGGGGAATCACCTTAGCATTTAAGTGCATCACTATGGCATATGAGGGCATCACTTAGATGTTTAGGGGCATCTCCATATCATATAAGGGCATCATTTCGATAAAGAGGGGCATCACACTCGTATAAGGGCATCACTCTGATGTCATCACTCTGATGTATAGGGTGAATCACTGATGAATTCTATCATCTAGGGGCACCACTCTAGCATTTATGGGCATCACTCTAGCATTAAGGGGCATCACTTTTGCAATTGGAGGCATCACTCTAGCATTTAGGGGCATCACTCTAGCATTTATGGGCATCACTCTAGCATTTAGGGGCATCACTTTAGCATTTAAGAGCATCACCCTAGCATTTATGGGGCATCACTCTAGCATTTAGGGGCATCACTTAAGCATTTAGGGGCATCACTTAAAAATATAAGGGGGATTAATCTGATAGGGGCATCACTATTGAATAGGAAACATCACTCTGACATTTAGGGGGCATCACTCTGACATAAAAGGCATCACTTTCATATGACAGAAAGAAAAACAGAAATTTTTCAAAGACCTGATATTTTTATTATTATTATTATTTGGGACAAAATTTGTACAACAACAAAATTTTAAAAAAATCAAGAGTATAAATAAAACCATATGTTCAAATATTTCTTTAATATTTACAAAACAGAATTTCCAGCTAAAAAGGCCCCGTACATTGGCTAATTAAAAATACAAAAAAAAGCTTTTGGTTTTCTGTGACCTCCTGGAAAAATTTTTCATAAGAATGGTGTTTCTGAAGTTATGTGCTAATGAAAGGAGCATGCACACGAGCGGTTTTCGTCAGAGATTTTTAATATCAAACAAGTTTGATAATTGTCTCCGATAGTTTTATCATCTGTAAGACAGACCGTCATCATCCAATCAGATTCATTTTCCTTTCAATTACATGATCTTCACATGATTATCAACATAGTGGAAAACGACCCACTGGAGAATTTTGTCGGTGAAACGGTTGACAAGACTCTAGTCGGCGACAAAAATCAACGAGATGCTGTAAAGTTTGAAATAGCAAGAAAAATAAATTTTTAAAATAGCGCTTACTAAGCGCTTACTAGCAAAAGCGTTAAATAAAGAAAAAAAATTGTTTTAAAAATTCAACATAAAACGAATTTTAACAAAAAAGGCAGACATACTTGTCCAAGAAGT